TCTTCTTTTGATACATTCAAGCGACGGCCCCATCACATCTTTTTGGCGTGGAAATGGTTTGCGGGTGGAGTATTTGTACAAAGAGGCATGACATGGCAGCTTGGCCTCCCTTCTTACCAAGGAGCTCTTCATTGGTCAAAGCTCCAGAGGTTAGGGCTTAAAGAAGGCAATGGTTCAAAAATCCTTCTTCGATTGCCCGTCTTTAACAAATCTCCAGTCCCCGCTAACTCTTCTGCTTTACATCGATTTGAAACTATTTCTAATCTAGTTTCATTTATTTTCGCTGTTTCTTTGTAGGTTTCGCCATGAAAAGAGGTGGATCAAAGGCTGAAATCAAGAAAGCTCATAGCAAGTCCATTAATCATTTTTTTCTATTGTTTATACTATGATTGTTTCTCGATCTAGTGTTTTGAAATTTAATTTGACTATAATTGAAATTATGCTTGTGCAGGTAAAGAATGGTGTTTGGGAAGTAGCAACAGGAATAAGCGCCATCGACACATTGTGCACTATCATTCTTTATTGGGATAATTGCAGCAATGGTACCAAATATTTCATTAAGTAGCAGACTTTGTCCAAACTTCTCATTTGTACCACCAACAGTGCCAAACCTTAGAAAATGTTGCAGATGAAGTCCAAATGGATGAGTTCTGTTAGTTTGACCGTTCGTTGACCAAATAATTGATTTTGACTTATTTTAGAATGTTAAAATAGTAATTTTATATTTTTATAATAAAATAACCAAAATCAGATAACTAAAATAAAAAACCCCTTTCCCCCTTCTCCCTCACCACCCCCAATATGCAAATCTGGGAAATCAATCGAAGAAAAATTTATGTGATTAATTGACAAATCTGCAGGCGGAAGTGAAAATTCCGGTGAATTGCCAACAGGAAATCTCTAAAAAAGGTGATAAGTGGTTTCTAGTTTCTTCTCTTTCACTAGTATCTTCAAAAGAGTAATGAAAGATTTTATCCAGTTCACACAATTGAATTGTGGAAGACTTTTGAATAGAGCAATTGCTTCTTCTAATAAACCTGCTCTTGTATAAATTTTAATTGCATCGACAAATACTGAATCTTGACACTCGCGGGAGTCCTCTTTCATTCTATAAATTACTTCTTTCATCTCAGTCACTCGTCTTGACCTTCCCAGGATGTCAATCATGGCAGCATAACAGGACCGTTATGGCGGTAATTCGAGTATCTGTTTTTTGCTTCACCAAAGATCCTCAAAGCCTTTAGCGGGTTTTTTTTTTTTAGCTTTCGTAGTTGTGACAGATGAGTAGGTGCTAGATGCATTGGCCATCTAATACTGATGGTTTCAACGCCTTCAAAAAAGAGAGAGAAAAATCAGATAAGATAAAAGTAAGAAATTCTGAGTTTTGATTTTGCAAATTTGGGGTGGGGGCAGGTGGGGTGGATGGGGATGAATAAGGTGGAAAGGGGTTTCTAATTTTAATTATTTGATTTTGGTTATTTTATTATAAAAAATGTAAAATTACAATTTTAACCTTTTAAAATCAGTCAAAATTGATGGTCAAAGTCAATTATTTGGTCAATTATCGATAATGCTAACAGAAACCATCAATTGGACTTCAACTGCAACATTTTGAAAGGTTTGGTGCCGTGGGTGACACATTTTGTAAGGTTTGGTATCGTTGATGCACAAATGAAAGATTTGGACAAAGTCTGCTATT